ATTTCTCTGTATTCCTCCCAAGCTGCCTATCCTTGTTTCCATCCTCTGTAGGCCTCCTTTGTCTGCTTGAGTTTGGCCAGGAGCTCCTTGTTCATCCATGCTGGCCTCCTGGCATTTATGCCTGACTTCCTCCTGAGCTTTGAGGAGGTGATCCTTGAATACTGACCAGCTTTCTTGGGCCCCTCTTCCCTCTAGGGCTTTACCCACGGTACTCTACCAAGCAGATCCCTGAGGAGGCCGAAGTCTGCTCTCCTGAAGTCCAGGGTGTTGAGCATGCTGCGCACCCTCCTCGCTGTCCTAAGGATCTTGAACTCCACCATGTCATGGTCACTGCAGCCAAGGCTGCCCTTGACTTTCACATTCCCCACCAGCCCCTCCTTGTTGGTGAGAACAAGGTCCAGCATCGCACCTCGCCTGGTGGGCTCCTCTGTCACTTTGATGAGGAAGTTGTCCTCAACGCATTCCAGGAACCTCCTGGCTTGCCTGTAGCCCTGCTGTGTTGTCCCTCCAACAGATGTTGGGGTGGTTGAAGTCCCCCATGAGGACCAGGGCTTTTGAACGTGAGGCTTCTATCTGCCTATAGAGGACCTCATGTAATAAATGAAATAACTTTTTTGTTATGAAAGTCTTTCCTTATTTTAACATTTCATCTGTCCCAGTTCGAGAAGTATAATTGTGAGGAAGGAGATATTTGTATAGAGGTTCCTTGAAAAGTGTCAGGATTGCCGACAGCATGGGCTGGAGTATAAACTGAACTCCAGGGGTTTTTAGGTCTTTTGTAACAGCGTTCAGCTGATGCTGTATTTGTGTCATAGGCCTTTCAGCAGCCTCTTAGCCGAAAAGGCACCTAAAATAAATTCACCTTATCTTTCAGGTTTTTTAGGAAGTTACGGTTCTTGTTTTACTGTGTCTTGAGGAGTTGGACACCAAAATGTATCTCAGTGGCTGAGAATTTTGAGACAAAGTATAACTTACATATGCTGCTTCCAGCAGCATGGCCTTCAGTACACTACAAAGTACCCAGAACTATTTTCATTCAGAAACGTGGCCGCTCTGTAGAGCACTTGGGTAAGGAGGAAGAATTGTGGGTTCCAGGTTGTCCTCAGTCTGATCGCCTTCCTCTTAGGATAATGTCCTAATCACCTGATTAGCAGAGTCACTGTAGATTTGAATCGTTGTAATGCAAAGAAGCAAGGATATTTGGGTACATAACACATGAATTTTTTTGATGGGCTACACTGAGGCTGCAGGATGTCCTGCCGAGTCCCTGAGTGTTTGGGTGTTTTTTCCTTTTTGCAGTGCATGAGAATTTTCAGTCTCGCAAAATTTTTCCACTTGCAGAAATAAATGGTTGTCACTTCTATAATTATGGTTAGGCAGTAGTTAATGCTTGCTTTGTCCAATACGTTGTGGCTGGCTGCAGTTCACATCTATGAAAGTGTTTGCGTGTTGCTTTATTCTTCTTTAGTCTATAACGGAGAACTTTGAATTGCTCATTTGTAAAAGCTCGGTACGTTAATAAATGGTGGTGTTAACTATTCTTTTCAACATAAAACACAGATAATAGAGTCCTTTTATGTGTGCATTTGAGTGAATATTTTAAATTATCTTTTTTCTTTACTAGGAAAATGTTCTCTGTAGGATTTCATTTTTTTTACCAAAAACCACTAGCTAGAAGCTAATTTGAAGCATCAGGAGTCAGATGATAACAAAATAGGGTAAAAGGCAACAACTATAATTGCTTGTCTGCTGTTTATAGATTATCTAAAGAGCAACTGTGGAGTTGACACTCAGTTTCTGAGTGGTGGCTGTGAATTTGACAGTTATCTTGTCCATTTCCGAAAACTGTAAGCATCAGCAACTGTTGGCACACTCAAGAAAATGGTATTGCCTGGTTTATCTGGTTTTCCTTTTTAAAGATTATCACCATCTCTGCTGTGTCTGAAAATTGTTCTAAATGAAAACTTCATTTTTTGTAAAATGTGTGTCTTGCTTTGAAAGTCAGGTGTGTTTTTTCACTCACAAGTGTTGTTCCCCCTCCCGCTGCTCCATGGTATCTGGAATGTTTAACATTCAGTCATGACTACAGAATACAGCTAAACAAGTAAGAAAGAGAGATTTGAGTAACAACCTCTTAGATTATAAAATCTGAATGATCACTACAACCACACCCATAAAACAATGAATTTTCGTAAAAGATAAATTAAATAGAAGCAAAATGGGCATCTTACAAGGACTGAGTGAATGTGGAGAGACTTTTTCATTCCGAGGTATGTCAGCTGGGTTATAATTGGCTCTAATTAGCATTTTATTCAGCTATAAAAATGCTTTACCTTGAAGTTCAGTGACACTCAAAGATGTGAAATTTCTTCATACCTTTGAAAATACCGAAGAAAGCACTTCCAGTCTAGCTTTTACAACTGAAGGTTCAGTAATCAGTGCAGGAAAGGGGCAAATACTTCAAGAGGCATAAAGAATATTGATATTTGGCTGGAAGACTCTTCAGGAGTTAATTGGTCAAACCAGATTTCATTGTCTATAATTTAAAATGTCTACATATATCAACACCAAATGCCAGTTATACTTTAAGCAATATGTAAGAAAAAATATGGACTTAAATAAAAGCGATCAGAATCAGCTTGAAGATTTCTTAATTACAATTTCAGTAGTGTGGTAATCCTAATGTGTTTTATTTTTACGTTGGAAAATTGTATTGTGGAATTTCTTATCCTGTTACGTGTGTTCATAAAATATTTTAATCTCTGACAGATCTAATTGATATATCTATGCAGCAGTACTATATAAAATTCTGAAATACCCATGTCAGTGCCAATTGGTTACTTATCATTATGGGCAAAATGATGCTGAATGAACCTGTAATTCAATCTGCTTCATAATTTTTATTATCGGCACTTGTTTTCAGTTGCTTATAAGTTTTTCCAAGTTGTACCATACAACTTTAACAAGAAACGTTTTTGAAAATAAGATTGACAAAACTGTAGACAAAACAGCCCGATTTAAAGCAAATCACACAGTCATTCCAGTTCCATGTCCTTGTTAAAACACCTTTAAAAACATGATGGCAGCTTAATGTGCTAAATGAAATGATTTTGTCCTAATGCAAGAGAACTCGTTGCAAATGAACTTTTATAGAAGCAGTTAATTTCCATAGATTGAAAAAATAGTAAGGATGCAGGTCATGGTTCCATCGGAAGATAGATGCAGAAGCTAGTCCTTTCTTTGATCTGCTCTGTTGCCTTAGGGAGGAGTTCAGTGGTTGAGGAATCAGCCAACTCACCCTTAGTTATAGTTCAAGCTTTTTCATCAACTTAATGTTAATTTTCTTTTTTGGCATAATGTGATTTTTCGCTGCCTAGTCTGTCTTCTCTATAACAGCAAACAGGTTCAGTCATCTGCCTGCATATCTAATATTTGTTTTACTAAAAGTGCAGAGAAAAAACAATGAAACTCTTCACGGAAGAAGCAAGAGGATTTTGAGTGGAAGGTATCACCTGAGAATAACTGAGGTTGTGTTTCACTTACAGTGTGAAAAAATGACACTGTGTCACTTCCTTCTGCTGCCTGCAACTTCCTATTTTCTTCCCCTCATGTCTTATACTATAGGATTGTATCAAGGGGCATGGCTTAGATCTGGCGCCAGCCAGGTCATATCCACCATCTAGGAGTAACGCAAAATTTGAGATAAAATAGGAGCATGTATAGCGTGCAGTACAAATTTAGGAAGGTAGCTGGTGGCTGCTTAACACTGGGCTCACTTGCCCAAGGCTGCATCTACTCACGCAACTTTCTTTCATCTCTTCAATCCGGATACTGAATTGATTCATGCAAAAAGCTAAATAGACTAGAGAACTTGTGTCTAGTAATGGACTTTTGACAGGCATCAAGAGATACTTCTTCATATATCCACTGAGGGTGAAAACAGCATATCAAATGCCTTTGAATAACTTATGTTTTGTCTAGAGATGAGAGGAAGTTTCTCCGTGTAGCTACCAATAGTAAAGTTGTGATCTCTGCCTTCACCTGTATTGTGTTACTTCAAGATGAGTCAGAGGCTGCACAACTTTCTTTTAGAAGTTCTGGGTGTGGAAGCCTATTCTCATCAGATGAGAAGTATTATTATTTTAACCTTACTGTTATCTGCAGCAAATTTATTAGGATTGTAGTTCATATACTTAGCCATACTGCCTGTACCGACTGACGTGAATATGCTGCTTCTCATAGGCAGAATAGAGATGAGGGCTGGTTTCTTGCTTCCTTCATGTATACTACAAAACTGGTGAATCACAGGTAAAAGGTGTATGTTGACTCAGTCACGATGACAGCTGCTGAGCTGGAAAAGGTTTGCATCAAAGCTCTGAGGCTTATGCTTCTCGGTACATCTTCAAAAAGGATGCACAATGTTACACATGAAGACCTTTTGAAGTTTCAAGCTAAAGCACTCGAAAGTGAGTTTATGTCAAGGCCTCTGCTTTTTTCTGTGTACATATGCAGGATGACCACTACAATGGCATAATCACTGTTTGTTTTATATGATTGCAGTATGATTCAGTATGCAGAACAGGGGGCAGACGGAGTAAGGAGTTTGAGAAGCTCTCTTACCGTTAGACTAGCATGTAGGGAAGCTGGATGGCATTCCTTCTTCTGACAGGTTTGGATGGGATGTCAGAGGGCACTCAAAAGAAAAAGGATGTGTACATTAACGCTAACTAAAAGATTCCATAAGCAAGCCTAGGTTTGATATTACGTAGCTTTAAGTAACTGATGCTGCAATAATGTTCCTCTAGTATGTGTAAAAATTGCTAGATTTCTCGTTAATGGCAGATTTTGCACTTAAAATATGGAATCGATTTCAGCTGAAGGAAACCAAAACGTTGGGTATGTTTTGGAACAGATTAGGTCCACAGAGTTAAAATGGCTTGCTAGTACAAATTCTGGTTGGTTTTAATGTTAGGTTGTTTTTTTCGTTTTCTGTTTTACAGTGTTATGTGGGAACCAATGGGAGACGGTAAAAAGATTATTTCACTGGCTGATAATAACATATTATTGTGGGATTTGCAGGAAAGTTCAGCCAAAGCTGTGGTAAGAAATTTTCTTTAACAAATCATGATAGACTTGAATATAGTACAAACAACAACATTTATTAGGCTAGAATTTCGTAATCTTTTAACAGCTCCTTCAGAAATAACTTGTTGCCTTGAACGTGGTGGGGGAAATGAATACTCTACCAGTTGTCTTGAATGTGAGTGTTTAAGAGTAGGAAACTTGGTGTTTTGTATCTGTTGCTAGTGGTTAAACATTTTGCTTCTTCTAGAGTTACCCTTACCTTCCTACTGGTTTTACAGTGAAGAAAGTAAAATAAAGCATTGCTAATTTGGTAAATGTGTATGAGGGGAAAGTTGGTGATTGGTAAAGCCAAAGGTTGCTGAATTCGGATAATAGTATATTAATTCATGTTGGTTAATACCATCAGACCTCTATTTAATTTACAACCCTTGTTGTATTTATAAGCATAAGTTAAGTTTATTTTCTGTGCACTGCTTTGAGTTCTCAGTTATGAGAATCTTCTAATCAATTCCAAATTCTTTATTTTTTTTTAAAACACACTTTTGTGGGATATTAATAAAAAGGGCTTTTTTTATTTGCCTTGAAAGGTACAGAACAGCCTATGGCAAAAAAATCAACTCTCATGGGGTGGGAGGAGGAGGAGAAGGGTTTTCTGAAGAGAGAGGTCATAGAAACTGTTAACAGTTCTGTTGGAGGTTGTAGGTGATTATACAAGGTGTCATTTGGTGCTACTTAGAAAATTCTTGCCAGGAAGTTCACTTTTGCTTTATATGCAGACACACAGGGAGATTATTTAAATGCTGAGAAGCATTGTGTTTATTATTGTGTTCATTAGGATAAAAGGTGGTCAGTCTTTGGCATGTCTTACCACCTAACATGCTGTTTGGTTCTAGCAGATGGTGACAAAGCAATAAGTAGCTAGTGAACTTATATATTCTGTAGGGACTGTTGAGGGGAAAAAGTCTTTACAAAATATTCCTGTTGCTTATGGACTTGTAAGTGAAATAACCATGTATGTGTGTGTCTGTATATGTGTTATTTTAACTGACTAAATCAATAGCCTAGGATTAAGACAATAAAAATGTCGGTGTGATTGAACTTTTTCCCTTTTTGTCAAAAATATGATGGTGATCAAGTTGAATGACATCATCATCATTGACTAAAAGTAGGATCTGGTCCACTGTGTTTGTATCAGGTAATGGAATTAAGGAGATATGGATTACACTGGGGCAGCACTGGTCTTCCTGTTTTAAGAACATTTCAGTTGCTTCCTTTTTGGATAGGTATGCATTACAGGCAATATTAATTTCAATGGCAAGAAGTAAATACAGTGCTACTCTTTATGGACTTTTCATGTTTATGAAAAAGTTTATGTGAAACTCAGGTGTAGTATTGATGAAAAACTGAAAATATATGTGTCTTTAAAATTCTGCACCAGCCAGAATTTCTACTTGCCTACACTGATCAAAACTTAGAGCCTTTTATTAGGCGCATCTTCTCTATATGCCTGGAAGCTACAAGTCACATTGTTTAATTAGAATTAGCCTGAAGAATTTTAGGGTTCCTGATATTTTCAGAGCTTCTTTGTAATAAAACTACTGGCGTGTTCGTTTTCTGAATTATCTGGTCAACCTGCCATAAAAAACATTTACTAACTGTAACATACAATACATTTCTGTGGGTTTGGGGTTTTTTCCCGTTCAAAATTTTTTTGATAACTTTTTTTCATTACAGTGTTTGATACAGGAATATTTACTTGTATGTGCATTAAGACAAGCTTCTTCTGTCCTTTTGATCACTCCATTTATTATTGTTTTGAGGACATTATCTTCTGGGGTGACACTAATCTTATATTCACTGCATCATTACGTTTTGTAGTTAAATTAACTGTTCTTTGCCATTTATAATCATTAGCTGCACCTAAGAGAAGCACAACCAATCCACAAGATCTGGGTAGATACTGCAGAAAAGATGACAGTTAGTATTCCTATATACAGACTTCAGGTCAGATGTCACCAAATCATTAGAACTCTTCTGTGGGTAAGTGCAGAATGTTTGGAAAGGCAGATGAGTGCAACAGAGTGAAATGGAGATGTTAAAATACAGATATTTTTCTTTCCCGTATTTTTTCACAAAGGGGAGGAGTACAGGTGTGGTTTTGATCATTTTTATCCAAATAATTCATTAGATTCCCTTTATATTTCTTGTCCCTTCTGGAGTCTTTAGTAGCATTTAATGCATAGGTGATGTTAATTCAGAACAATAGAAAATATCTGGCAGTGGCATTCCAGGCAAGAAGGAAGATGTTGTGGAGAAGATTTCAAAGTCTATCTGGATAAAAGTAATGCATCCAAATGTAGGAGGAAGATAGGAATATGCATGAGATGCTTTCTTGGCAAGAGGGCTGCTGTTCCTCAAGGTAGAAAATACATTGTGGACTTTATTGGAGAACTTACTAGAGGGTCTCGCAATTATTTCAACTAGAATAAACATAGATGAGTTAAAGGAAGGCAAAAAACTGTCTGAAGAAAAATGGAAGAGAAATTACTGGATCAGAAAGAGGATAGAAGACCAGTTCTTGAAGAGTTGGTGTTGGGATCAGTTTTGTTTGGTGGTCTCCTTAATGGTAGCATAGAAGTAGGGGCAAAATAATGAAAATTGCTGATGACAGAAACTTGGAACATGTCATCAGTACATAGGAGTAACAATATATTTTTCAGAGGACTAACTAGCTGCTCTAACTAGCTGCTCTTGACGTTTGGTTTAATTTTTGTAGTGTAAAACAGCAAACTTGTGTTTAAGGAATAAAGGTATTTTCTTACTGTGAGGTGGAAACTCAGCACTTAAAAATATGTAGATTCTGTTACTTAGCTGTTCTGAGAAAGACTGTGAGCTGCCAGTATGATGAGGGAGTTTGAAAAGGCAAACAACTGTAAGATGGTTCAGGAGAAAAGAGCAGTTATGAAAGGACTATGTGGCATCGTTGCCTGCAATGGAAGGAATTGAACTTCGTGGTTTTTAAAATTCTCATCAAAATTTCTTTTTCTGTCAGTAACAAACCAGAACAACAGTCATCCCCTCTTAATATGGATCTCCAATTTTTCAGTGGCTTTCTTACTGTGGTTATTACACGGACATCTGCTTGAGGCTGTCTTGAGATCTCCACACAACGTCCAGCACACACAGAATTGTGGCTCATTTCCAGTTGATGAGGTTATGGTTAAAAAGCATAAAAAAACTTTGTGTAATGTATCTCAGTGAGGTTAGATACTCTTTAGAAATTTTAAATATTTATGGACTTAATTGTTTAAAATGTCTTCACTACCCCATGTTCACTGAGGAGGCAGTCAAGATCAAATAAGCACATGCAGTGTAACCCTATGAATATTTCATAAATGGAATAATGACTTCTTTAGTGGTCTTGTCTAGAATGCACTTGAACATCCATCAGATTTTTAGTCTTATGACCTTTAGGGTAAGGTGTGAGAGTTCCTTTGTGTTCGCTGTTTTCAGGGGTTTTTTTGTGTGATTTATTCTGTTTAAAGCACAGCTGCTGCTTTAGGGGTAAGAAAAGTAAAAGTTATTAAATAAACATTTATTAAAAAAAACCACATTCAAAAGTCAAAAGGCATGTTTTCTCATTTATCAAGTAAAATATTTCTGGTTTTTATCTTTCAATTAATTTCTAAGTGTTTAAAAAAAACACACCTAATATATTTTTAGATCGAATTGTAAAGGGTTTTTTTGTCAAGAAAGGAGAACAAAGTCATTTCCTTAAAATAAATGCAGGTTACCAATGTATTGATAAATATTTAGTAGGTTGCTGCAGTTGTTAAGCCTTTACATAGAAATTTGCATCTTTTGCTCTCCCTGTATAATGACTGATAATCACATTTTTTCAGATGATGAAATTATGAAACAAAGATACTAATGTGTGCTAATATTACACACTGTACCACATGGATTGATTTTATTAACAGAAGAGAAAACTTCACATTTTTGTTAGATATTATTTTCTTACAAGAATACTGATTGTCACTGGTAACCATTTATACATACTAAGAAATGTAGTATTTACTTCAATTTGGTACTTTATTATCCAGAAAGATATTATATGAATTTCTAAAGTAATCAAAGTAGAGCACCAGAACATTCCCTATTTTATAAATATTTTGTTCTTTGGAGATGTTTTCAAATGGTTTGTGTCAAAGTCTGTTTGAGGGAAACAGCTGACCTTCCAAATGCATAACACAATAAGTAATTGTTAGTCATTCTACCTTAGAATTAGTTCATATGTTAACAAAAAAACCCAACAACCCAACAAGTTGTGCATATGAACACTTAGTTATTAGATGAAGATAGCATAGTGAGAGAACAGAACTAAATGTTTCCAGTTACCATTTTGTCCAGAAGTTTTTAGAACTTTAGATCTGGTCCTCTCGCATTGTTTTTCATAATATGTTGCGAGAGAAGAAAGTTACAGCCCCCTCAGCCACCCTTGGAAGAAAATTTGATAAATCCTACCATTCATGTGCTTCGTGCTGCTCAGTTCTAAGAGTGGTTATGCTGATCCATACCCAAGTCCATCCAGCCCCAGGATTCTGCTTGGAACAGTGGCCATAGCAGGCTCCAAGGAGAAGTTCAATGGAACAGATGTGTTGGATGCTTTGCCCTTAGCACTCAGTCAGTCATCTTCCCTTTTCAATCCAAGGATTTTTCTGAGCCTGGCTGGGTTTGTGTACATAGTGTAACTCTCCATAGATCTTTCTTCCAAGTATTTTCCTGCTCTGTTCTTAGACATAAATAATCTTTATGCATGCAAGGAGTCCACTGGGCAGAGAACTACTTTCTTTTGGTTACTGTTGAATCTGACTTCTACAGGCTTCTTGCAGTGGCCCAGAGCTTTGTTTTGGAAGAGAGCATGAACAATTGGTTCATTGTCTTCATGCTGCTTGTGATTTTTTTTTTTGCTCGATAATTTCTGTGATCTCTAGAGGTTAATATATGTGGGGTTTTTTTGTTTGCTTTTTGTTTTTTAAGGATACTGCCTATCCTTTCCTCTTTCCAAATCAGCCTTTATGAGAATCAAAATTTGAAGTGGAAAGAGGCATCTCAGTCCTTACTGATATTTTGATAAAAATAAGTTGGAGTAATTGATGGGTTTTTTGAGTACACAGAAATCAGTCCTTCAAAGCTAGAATAGACTTTTTCATATTCAGGTACTTTGCTTTTGTAGAAGCCCTTCCTTCATTGAGGATAACAACATATACAGTTCTATTCTGATCATATTACATTGCTTATTTATTTTTTTCAGAAACTTTTATTTTTGTATCAAAGCATTGCTCTCATGAAATTATAGTATAATATCATACTGCCCTTTTATTATTTTCCTTATGTCACCAGCTTTAGGCACTGATCCATTGAAGCACTTACAAACAGTGTTAAATCCATCCATATTCTGATAACCATTTTACACTGTTCAAGGTTTCATTTTGTCCAGACTTTTTTCTAAAGTCAACGTGTGATCCTTGCACAATGCAAGAACAGGAGCTAATTATGTTGTCTAAAAGTAGACATTGGATCTTAACTCACTTTTTTTCTTACTGTAAGTCAGGTTTTCTGTTTATAAAATATTGCTATAAAATGTTTTCTTTCAGTGTGCAGTGAGGCCATCAGAGCTGTGTGTCTTCATCTTTGAGCGGCAACAAATCCAAATTCTTATGTGAGAGCGGTGCCTAAAATAGTCCTTTGTTGTATTTTCTTTCCTTCTATAGTCAACTTTTCTGCCTTTAAAGAAGAGGAAGGAGGAGTTCAAGATATAAAGAAAGCTTGCCTATCTCCGTATATTTAGGTATCAATTAAAGCTAGGGGTTTTTTTGAACCTGCATTTGTGATTCCAGGTCACCAGTTTTGTTTCATTTAAGCTCATTTCTTGGATTTCCAGGAGGGAGACTTGCATACTTCCTTCTGTTACATGAGAATTCCTTCTTCTGTATGAACATTTCTCTCCGTTACCTCTTAGCAATCCTTTAAATCTGTGCAGTTCCTTTCTGGCTCATAGACGATGTGCAAAGAGCATTGAACAAAACTGTATTCCGTAACTTCTGGGATTTCATTTCATTTTATTAAGAGAAGTCTACTATGTTGATTGGGAGGTTGGCTGTATATATAGTTGGCCACCCATACAAGGAAAGATGTCGTTTAATTCCTGCAAATATTTAAGGATTGCTTCAGAAGGCAAGGATGGCTTGGCCAATCTTACATGTATGTGATTTTTTCATATGTGTTATTAAGAAATAGTGCAGGATGTGCGTGCTGGCCTCACCCATAAACTTTTGGCTGAAAAGAAAAACAGTGTTGATCTTTTTGTAATAGTTCAAACTATAAAAGTTGAAATAAAGACTTAAAAAAAAAAAAAGGTGGAATGCTGGAGAAAGTATTATCTGCTGACAAAGACCTTCTAACCTGAGTTATATTTTGGATATGTGATGCTTTCTGTCTGAAGAAGAGATTTTAGAAATACCTAATAAGAGATACTCTTTTCATTGGTACTGTCTTAGTGTTAACATTTGCTTCTCTCCTCTTCCCCCAGTCTGAGCCTTGCTTGGCAAAGGCTGCTTACTAAAGGAACTTAGTGTAATTTTTGAAATGACCCACTCAAGCTCTGCATATTCTCTTATGCATTGAATCTAGTATGTGTCAAAAAATAAACATTGCAGCTTATTTTATTATCCTGCATCCAGTGTCCTGTGCAGTACTTTTCTTTCCATAACTTGCAGGTTATTAATATAAAGGCTTTCAGACAGTATTTGAGGAAGAATGGTGCTAACAACGTTATTGTGCTATGTAATACATGAGCCATGTATGACCATGCTGGGAATCCTGGTTCTTTAAAAACAAAAAAAAACCAGAACAAAAACAAACAAATAAAAAAACCAACAAAACCCCACAAACAACAAACTGAGAAGCCAGCACACCTTAGGTACATAGACTTCAGTGATGGAATAGTTGTAATGTCTAGATTGTTAATCTGAGTGAAAAGTAAATATGGTATTCTTGGTGGAACTGTAATAGTAATATACATATATTGTGAAATATACATATAGTGAAATACAGAAATGGACATTGGTATTGTATACAAATACATATAAGCAGTCTTGTGTTGACAACATATTTTTCTGTTGATGTCACTTAAAGTTCATGTAAGCACAATGCAGGTTTTAGTCTTTTTCATCCATCAAACTAATATTTCTGCTGAGGAATCTTCTATTTAATAGCATATTTTATGATGTGTTAGGATTTAGGTAAAGGAGAAAAGTGATCCAAGGAGATCCAGTGCAGTAACCTGCTTTTGTGAAGTCCCTCTTAATGAAAGACTTTGAAATATGAACACTGTGTGCAAGACGACTGAATAAGTCTGCTGTCTGCCTAGCTGCTTGGAATTACTATAAATTTTGTATCTGATGAAAATGCAAGTAATTTGGTTTTCCTCCCCCTGCCCCCCATTTGATATTAAACAATCAGTTTCGGTTAGTGACTAGAAGTAGAAGTAACTTGCAGTGTCGGCAGCTTCATTTTTTTTCCCCATGTTCACGTGCAATTGGAGGGTAACTTTCTGTACAACTTAACAGAGAAAGCTGATTACTTTGTGCGATCTTTACCTATAGAGACGCAGAGCTGTCTGTCAATGACATACAAACCTGGTTTTGGAACCAAAACCTTTAGTTCTCACAGATAGTAGATTAATGATTTAATACCTGCTATTATTTAATAGACATGTAGTTTTTTTAAAGGCTTCTGTATGTTTACTGAGGAGTCTTTGATACTATAATTCTGTTCCTGCAGATAAAATTTGGTATTTTGTCATGGAAAAACAATCTTGTATGACTGTTCATGAAACTAAATGGGTGTGCCTGAGGCAGCTACAAATTTGTGCAGTGTGTGCGTAGTGTCTATCTACTGTTTCAACAAATGATCTGAAACCGTTTATTTTAGTTTATAAAGTAGTACAGTACTTCTAATATTTCTGACTACATTACACTGCATAGTACTTTGTAAAAATTACTTTCTGAGATACAAAATCAGCTTTAGCTTTTAATTTTTTCTGGCTTTTATCCTAGGACTGTGGTAGTCTGTTACACTTATAATAGGCTATTGTACAGTTTCTGTCTTCAGTGGAACGCATTTAATTTTAGCTTTACATTTAGAAACATTGCCAGCTTTTTTTCATTATTTTAGCTCTCTAGTTCTGCAGCCTTGGAAGGAAAGGGACAATTAAGATTTACTTCTGGAAGATGGAGTCCACACCACAACTGCACACAGATTGCAACAGCCAATGATACCACTGTTCGAGGATGGGATACGCGAAGCATGAGGTAATGGGAAATTGCAGTCGTTCTTCAAAAAAGATAATTTCTGTTGGAGGTGGATTTTTCATTGCTTCTAACATGATTTTTAATTTTTTTTTTTAAATCAGAAATATGGCAAAGCTACCACTTATAAAAGGAAGGATTGGGCTTGCATAGCTGATGTAGTCACAATTTTTCAAAGGGTTTTCTCTGCTTTTTCCCTTCAGCTTCAATTCTAACTTGTGTGTTCAGTTTTACTGAACTATATACTAGTCTCAGGATGATTTGTTCAATACATAGGCATTACCTGAATGAAGGTGTTCTGTAATTCAACCTGAAAATGATTTAACATCAGTCATGACTATTCTATGAAGTGCCTTCATAGCATGCTATTTAAAGGTAACTTTAATCTCTGAAGGTAACTCACAGGGTAAGTTCACTCTTCGCTCTTCTGATTTTAACAAACAGTATACTATACTATATTAAAAATTGTAGCACGCTAGTTATGTGAAACTACTGAATATATCCAGATCATTTCCAAATCAATTAAGGCTTTGAATATACCTAATAAGGTGTTTCCCCTCTTGCTCAGTTGTGATTTTGATGAGCAAAGGAGTGATGTTGTGCAGATCTGTTGCCATGACTACTAAAGCCTGTGCAAGCTTTTTTAAGATATGCTTTATCCCCTTAGTACATAGTAATTTATCACTAAACCGAGAAGACTGATGTCTTGTGATAACTTTTGTTGCCTTAAAGGGGGATGACTTTAAATTTAGGTCTGTGGTTCCTGCCAGCTCAGGGGTGTAGCAATAAATCCCTGTGTTTGCCACCCTTGTGTGTTTTTGCCAAAAAGGTTTATTTAATTTAATAAACAAAAGCTAGAAATGCAAATATAAGCATTAAAAGTCACTTTCTGTATGCTTGTCATCAGGTTTGAAAGTCCTGTTCTTTGCCCTGTAAAAAGATATATAAAAATCTAACTTCATAAGTATGTGTATACTTAATTTATGAAGACTCATTTAAATGAAGCATACAAGAGGAGAGAAAGGTCAAAGGAAAAAGGAGTTTTTAAGTTGATTTTTTTTTGTGAACTTCCTCTTTTTAACATATAACATGCAGACCTTAAGATTAAAGCCTGTGTTTCTAAGTAGAAAATGTTAAAAGTTGTGAAGTCTGCTTCAAGCTCTATCTCGTATCTTGCATTGTATGAATACTGTGAGTAATTTGTGTGAAAGATGGATAGTACAGATATTTACATGATCCTCAATGAAAGTACAGGTTGGTTAACAAAAGCAAACTTCATAATTCTAATTACTTTAAGTTAAGCTCAAATTAGATAGTCCTTGAACCAATTTACGAGTACTATGCCAAAGAGCTGTTTGCAGCGTACTTGAAAAACATTCACAAGAATGAAGTCTCATCTGCAGTTACACTGTAATATGTCTAGAATGATGTGAATATTTCATAATGACTAGTTAGGTTAGAGGTAGGAGTGTAAAGTCAGGGCAGTATAAACTGTGGCAGTGTAAGAAGCAAAAAATTAGAGAGGGGAAAAAATCAAGGTCAGAAAATTGTTATATCAGCAAAGAACAAGGGAGGAAAGGTATTAAAGAAGTAGTTAGAATAGCTACTTCCATGGAGTGCAATTAGGATAGCTGTAAGATAGAGGGAGTGAACAATTTTGGACATAGCAAACAAAGAAGGGGGGCCAAAATAGAGGTTGGTGGGAAGTTTCCTAGATTGGACTAGGAAGCAATCTTAATCAAAGAAGAGCTTGAAGCAGAGGAGACAGACACTAGGCTGAATGGATTTAGAGAGATAATTATATCAGGAAAATTCGTACTACAAGAATAAATTATGAAAACTATGGGAGAAAAAGAATATGAGAAGGTGGAGCCAGTAGGTGTAGAAAATGTTTGTGTGATCTGACCTCAATCTAAGATGTAACTGGAAAATTCAATATAGATAATATTGCTGTAGGTGGGATGATAAAGTGAAAGAAAAGAATATTATTTGGGAAGGAAAGGGATCAAGTGGTCAGAATAATAGTCAAGTAGGGATAAAGGCTTTCACTGTAACCACTGCTGACTATACAGTGGACAGCAGTATTTCTTATTAAGCCCTTGCATCTCCATGAGCAATGCAAGAATTGCAAGAAAGAAGTGAAAGGTGCAATAAAGGAGAAGTGTTTTATTGCTGCAAGCATGCCTGAGATATAAATAACTTCCCGTGAAGATATTTCAAGAAATTAAGAGCAAATGTTGAATTCAGATCCCAGAATACCTGTTAGAAAGGTATGTTTGAGTGATGTCCTTAATCTCTCAAACTCTGAGAAGTTGTTGACATCGAATGTCTAAGTAATGTTCTTTATCCCAGGTGACTGCCGTAGCTGTCAGGATAAGGCTTAGTGTAGGCCTGGTATTGTTTGAACCTCTCCTTACAAAGCAAAGTAGCTCTGTATTAATAGTTAGGTGTTACTAGCAAGAGACTTCTTTATCTGGTCTGAACATGAGAACATATATGTAGCACAGGAAATATAAAGTTTTGGTCTGTCTGTGAAGAGAGAAAACTTTCACTTAAAAGAGAAAAGCTGACAAAGTGTTGACAAGTTCTAGTGAAGATTGTAGGATACTCAAATCTAAGCAGAACTTTGGTAGATGGTGGCTTTGAGAATGGACATGGGAACGGATACAGCCTTTTCGTAAAACTTGTAATGCAGCAGCGGAAGCAAACAAACAAAAATCCCAAGTTTAACAGGGAGGTAGGGAGACAAACTGATGGAACATTATGTTTTGAATAAGGACACTAGGTTATTAGCAGTCCTGCAAGTGTTTTCTGATGTGGTCCAGATGGATGATTATGCGCGTGGCTATGTAGTTTGAGGGCCACAGGTAAATTAATAATATATGCCAGATTTCAGTAAGGTAAGTTCAAAACAGAGCAATAATAAAAAGCTGTTGTTCATACCTGTTGCCTCCCTTGCATCTCAGCTTTTCATATAGGGACAACTAGATGTCATAAATACAGAATTGGTATAGCTACTTAGGGGTGGAGAAGCTCTTACCTGAAAATGCTGTGATTTGTTAGTGGACATTTCATAACAGTTAGAGAGGTGTGCTAGCATCATCTGGAACTGCTGTTTCCTTTTAGTTCCAGATAATCGTAATGCAAACAAGGAAAGAGCAAAGCTTCAGAGCAAGCTGAGAAATCTATACAAGTTGCTGTTGTTAACAGCTGGGATTTCCCTAAACTGTGCACTAGCAATGAGAGCTCTGGGTCTGCGGGGGCTAAGGGGATTATGCAAGTTTCCAGGGAAACAGACTCCTGTCAGTGGAGTGCAGTTAGCTTTTTATAGACCATTTAATTTTTTTAATGTGTTTTACAGACAGATATATTGCATAGAAAATGCACATGGACAGCTGGTACGAGACCTAGACTTTAATCCCAATAAACAGTACTACCTGGCTAGCTGTGGAGACGACTGCAAGGTGAAATTCTGGGACACAAGAAATGTCACTGAACCAGTGAAGACACTAGAGGAGCATTCCCACTGGTAGAACAAATTATCTGCATGCTGTTTTGTGGGTGGATGGCTTATGTAATTTATTCAGCTAATTATTTTACTGTTTAGGAACAATGCAAACTAACTATGTTTGTGCTATTGTGAATAATCATTTTTCTGCACGGAGGAAAGGTTTGCCAATGTTCCTTGTGTGATTGTAAATTACAAGTTTAGACAACGTTAGTCTAATTGGCAAGAAACTGTTAACATTGTTGGGAGATAGGGTACACCTTTGAGGAGCACAGCTCAGAACTTGGCTGGTAGGGGCCAGCTGGGACAGGCCTGCCTGCCCAGATTGAGCCTGATCTGCTGCAGCTGATGTTCGGAAAAGCCCTTGAGCTGTTTTGGTTACAGCAGCTGCCATCTATCCTTCTGTTGTTGAATGGGGAAAAACTTCAGTAATTTTTTTATGCTCTTCACAGCCCTTAAGCCAGAATATGCAAGTGAGTAATTTTATTCTCTGAGATAATATTTAGAGCCCTTATCTACCACTCTGGCCTGTGGCTGGAGCAAGGAGAGAATCTTTTCTGACGTTTGCAGACTTCAGTGGTTGAGAAAAGATGAGCAGTTCATCTTTTTTTGCAAAATAAATCTGGACCCTGAAGCTGCTTTGAGGGGAATGAAGATGTGAATTAACAGAAGCAGCATTTGTGCTTCCCCTTCCCCCCTCCTGGAAGATTAAAAGACAAAGAATAAAACAAGAACCATAAGATATTTGGTATTAACTTGATACGTAAAATGTAAGAATTGAAGGGAAATATAATCCTACTTTTGTTTTAGGGTCTATTTTAAACTTTACTGTAAGGATGTTGTGAGATTTTTGTTTAACAGGTTATTTCTAATCTGTATTTTGCTATGGGGAATTTTTTATTTTTAGAACTGAAATATTTATCTGATTTTCTAAAGAATGAATTAACATGTACCCACAAGGAATGATACTGCTGAGTGGAGTGTTTTGTTCTTTGGATTTTTTTTTTTCCAAACTTATATGTTGAATTTTAAAGACACCTCATAGAAAACAGATGACATGGAAGCTTGTAAGTCAAATAAAGATGGCAAAAAACAGCCTTTGGAATGAGGCATGAACACATGTCACTTCCATGTGTTCTTGCGTTTAAGTCAAAGATCAATTTTTAGTGCTGTTCTTAGAGAAAATGATTTAACATTGATGCACTACCTGCCAAGAATAGCTTCTTGTTCTTTCTGATTTCATTTTTTAGGGTCTGGAATGTCAGATACAATCATTCTCATGATCAGCTGATCCTTACAGGAAGCAGTGATAGCAGAGTTATCCTGTCTAATATGGTATCGATTTCTTCTGAACCGTTTGGGCATATGGTAGATGATGATGAACTAAGTGACCAAGAGGACCAGCATCAAGAAGAGAAGTATGAAGTTTCCTGAGTTTTATGCAGATGCTTGTAGTTTGTCTTTTCACTGTAGTGGTTAATGTGCTATTTTTTTGCTGACTAGGATTTTTGTATACAGGCCTTTCAGGTATGTAGTCCTAGTTCATTCTCCTTTACTCAGAGTCTTGGGTGGAATACACTCCTTAAATGCGATTGACACGGTCACTGTATGTTCACTGGTAGGAGGGTGTTGGTGATGCTGAGGACTAGTCCTAGAGTTTGCTGGATCGGTGAAAAGATTCACTTTAAGGGAGCTTTGGGTCAAGTTAAGCACATACAATAATCTGGGTTAAATGAGAGTTGAAAGTCTTTTTGCATTTTCTGTGTATGGTATGTGTTCTAACCTTTAGGAAGTGTTACCAGTCTAATAGTAAGCTTTTGCACAAGTGTAAATACATTAATTTTTGTAAATTTCACTCAATACTGTTGACTGCTCTAGAAACCAATAACTCATTAGACCTACTTCAAGCAAAACAGAACTTTGTTCTTGACACTCTTGGTAAAGAATAACGCATGTTACTGCAAGCATTTCTAAACACCGTCCGCTTGGGTGTGTGAGGAATCCTGTACTTTGCATGTGATTTTTGGAGGGATGGGGTTTTTAGTAAAGAGTTCACTGAAATCCCAAAACAATAATTTTTCATCCTCCATTTTTGTCTGCTTTCAACTTTTTCGTTGTGCAATATATGGTGCTTGTTTTCCTCTCTCTACTTCTTTATGAATATATATATACACACACACACACACATGGACTTGTATGGAGCAAGTCCAGAGGAGGGCCACAAAAATGATCAGAGGGCTGGAACACCTCTCCTGTGAGCAAAGGCTGAGCGAGTTGGGGCTGTTTAGCCTGGACAAGAGAAGTCTCCAGGAAGACCTTATGGTGGCCTTTCTGTACTTAAAGGAGGCCTACAACAAAGCTGGAGAGGGACTTTTTACAAGGGCAGGGGTCATAGGACAGGGGGTAATGGCTTTAAACTGAAAGAGGGTAGGTTTGGATTAGATACAAGGAAGAAATTCTTTACGATGAGGGTGGTGAGGCACTGGCACAGGTTGCTCAGAGAAGTTGTGGCTGCCCGCTCCCTGGAAGTGTTCAAGGCCAGGCTGGATGGGGCTTTGAGCAACCTGGTCTAGTGGATGGTGTCCCTGCCCATGGCAGGGGAGTTGGAATTAGAAGATCTATAAGGTCCCTTCCAACCCAAACCATGCTATGATATGTATATAGGGAGTTCTGTAGATCTAGTGTGGGCTGAGGTTTTCTAATTTTGCGACTAGCTTACATGGTGATCGTGGCACACTC